CACATAGTACTTCTTCTAATCTTGATGAACGGATGTTTACTGCTGTGTAAACTTAATAAACTAGTTTCCCCTTGCCTAGTTTTGTTACCTTTACGACTTCGATCGTCTTTGAAATAGGAAAGAGGAATCACAATGTGAGGCGATTTTTTCGTCACTCACGAAAATATCAAATATTTGTGGTATATTCTAATATAGATATTTTTTTATGTAATATATATTTTTTTTAGAAATCATCGTTTTATAAATAATCTTATTTAATCTCGACTAAAATATTGTATTTTAATACTTTGTACTATTTCGAATAAAAATTTGAAGTAATTATATTGAACATTTATATGATTTTATAAAATAATCTGATAAGTATAAATATATAATAACTAAGCAAAATAAATTTTATGTATTTTTTAAAAGACAACACATATTTTTTATGTATAATGCTTATTTAATAATTATTAAAAACGGACGTTCTAAAAGTGTAGCAAAATTCTGAACACGTTCTTCAAATCAAGAAAAATCAATAATTATTTAAGTTTCTTCGACTGATAAACTATATTTAACTGAGCAATAATATTGAGTTTATAAAAATTGAGATACCTGCGTTCTTTAATAAACATTGCCATGATAACAGTCTATAAAGTCTTCGAGTATTTATCGATATGTATGTCTAGTCATAACTAGATTTATCTAATAACTTTGCTTTATGCCAGTCGCTACTGCTTTGCAGTAGCAATTTTATCGCTAAAAAAATCTAATATATTTTATTGTCAAAAGATTTAAATATATTACACAAACACACACACACACACGTATACATATTATTATCAAAATTAACATATTTTTAATAATAATTAATTACACTTACTGAATCAAGAACATTATTATTTAAAAAAATATATACAATATTTTATATTATAGATATAACATTTCAAATAAATATTGCAAAAAATGAGAGACACGTAATAGAATAGCGTAATAGGACATTGACACACATATACAGAAATTCAATATTATTGATAAAAATTCAATATAACATAACAGGTAACCATATCAAACAGGATATATGAGAAAAATAGATTCCTAACAGTTTATTTATCAGAGTTCGTAAAAAACATATCAAATTTGATAAGCATTTTACATATAATTTACAATCACTAAATATCTGTTTACATATGTACGTATATACGTGGGTGAAAAATTAAATTAAATTTTTCATAAAATCAAAGTCGATTTTTAAATTAATTAAACAAATTGCATAACAGATAGTACACAGGCATATTAAAAAGTTTTCCAATTTTACTTTCTATTATTGTTTCAGTTTTAATTTCATTTAATATCTAATTAACTATCTATATTTTGTATTCGAGAATATATTATATTTTATTAATATCTTCTCTCGGATTTTTAATTAATCTCAAGTTTGATACTATCGTATATCTGCGACAAAGTATAAATGTATATAAGTTTCCTTACCTTTATGAGATTTCCTTCATGTAGAGTGCTCAGAGATGGTCTTTTCGCGCGACGGCTTAATCTATAGAAAAAAGAAAAACTGATGATATAGTAACTATAAAACTATTATTTTTCCGGTTGGCCGGATTGATCAAATCAAATAAATCCTTTCCGGATTAAAAAAATGTACGAAAAACATTATTAATTTTTTATATCAAGGACGTGTATGCGAAAAAAGCTTAATGATTTTCCAATATTGCCTAAATGAAACATGAAGAAGTCTACGTTAACGTATCGATATGAAAGGGAAGATAGATTGAAATATAATAAATTTTATAACAAATTTTGGAACAACTCTAAAAGCTTTTTCTTTTTAAATAAATTTTAAAAAATGTAACGTATATTATATATTATATAATATATGTTTTATTGTATAAAATTTATTTTATAACACAATAAAAAACAGTGTATATATATATATATATATATATATATATATA